CCATAATAATGCTGTCTTATAATCAATGATATCACAATTTGATGAAATATGGTAGATGGCTGGCAAAATGCAGCTATATGTTCCTTTGTGCAGTATCTCCTGCTTTTTCAGTTTTCATTCAGAAACATTACTTCCAAAAACAGTTAATGTTTAAAAATTTTTGGCCTAAAAAATTGTTTTCTTTCCCTCTGATAGGCCCTGATTTTTTGTGATATATATCTATACACAGCAGACCTAGCTTTCTATTATTTGTATCAAATACATACAATAAAATAAATGACCTATAATCACTATTAAATTTCTTCCTTATAGGGCTTGATGACCTCTGGCAATGAAAAATGTGGTGAGTTTTGAGATTTTTTTTTTTCCTTTTTGCTATAGATTTTATAGATTACTTTCTATAATATAATAGCACATCATGGTTCATGCCATTTATGTGGTTATTTCTATAAGTAGAAATATCTAGGACAGCTCTTGTAGAAGCTTAATAGATGTAGTATAATTCTTCCAAATTAATTAGTACCACCAGATATTATCGATCTGGAAAATCATGGGAGTTACAGGCTAATGGGAAAGAAATTATTTTTTAGACGTTTTCGTATATTTTATTTTCTATTGTTTATAAAAACTCCTAGAAGCTAGCGCCTGACTTAAATAAATGCTGCAAATGTACCTAGATGATGGATTTGGCTCCATAAAATTCAGTTGTTTTAGGATTTTCACCTTATTTGTGAAGACGAATAAAGTTATGTAGCTCAAACCAGTGTGATATTCCAAGTTAGAAAATTTTTCTACCATGTTGCTTTTGCTATCATACTAAAATAGGTCAAGTTACATTAATTTTTATAAGTCAGTGACCATGTAAGTAAGTCATCAAACATCCTAGTCTGTACAATTCCTTCACTTCATCTCTTGCCTCTACCTCTATCCTCCATTCTGCTTCAGTTCTTCTCTTCTGTGATTATATTCTCAATCTTGGCCTTATGGGTCTATTCCATCTCATAAACTCTATTACTCTCTGTCTCTTTTTATAATGGAAAGAACAGAAACTTTAGAGCCAAGATGGCCTAGATTATAATCCCATTTTTGTCACCAGTTATGAGGTGGCTTTGGGCAAGTTACCTAATCTTTCTGAGCCTCCATTTTCTTAACCCGTGAAATGGAGATAACGACAGTACCTGCCTTAGAGGAGTGTTGTGAAGGTTTAATTAGGCAACATATATAAAGTATCAAACACTGCTCCTGGGACATGATAGTCACTCAAATGTTACCATTGCTGTTACTATCATCTTTATTATATTACTGCTACTGCTCGATCTCTGGGTCTTCTGTTTTCTTGAAGTCTGTCATCTCCTTTCTGGTTTCTCTTCCTTCTCTCTCCAACCTAGATACCATTGCCATCACCCTAGTCACACAGTTATCCTCAACTTTCTTGCTTCTAACTCCCAAACTATTTTATTATATGTCTCAGAATCACTGAATGTTACTGGGGACTGTCACTCAGTTTTACAGATTGAACCTACAACTTTGAGTCTTCATCCATTTGCCTCCCTTATATGCTGTATATGGTACCCTTTCCATTTCCCCTGAGTTTTCCAAAACTTTACTTTTCTTCTAAAATTATCAGTCCCACTAACTTTTATATGACCTTCACTTCACTGAGAAAGTTGAGGCCTTTGTCTATAGCCATACCATCCTGAATGCACATTATCTCTGATTTTGGAAGCTAAGCAGGGTTGGGCTGGCTAGATGGGAGACCACCTGGAAATACTGGGTGCTGTAGGCTTATAAAAAATTTTAATTAACATAAAACATTAAAATAGGAAAATTGAGGTGTTTAGACTGGATCATCATTTCCTCCTAGAAGATGTCCCTGAATACCTCACCACCACTAGTTTCATCTAGATGCCTCTCCTGTCTGTCTCCATTGCACTCTATGCATAATTTTATTATAAAACTTACCACACTACTATAATAATCTATTTCTCTGTGTCTCCTACTAGACCAGGGGTTGGCAATCTGCAGTCTACATACCTAATCCTGCCCTTGACTTATTTTTTTGTTATGCCCTTGAGCTGAACAAATGGCTTTTACATTTTTAAAGAATTGTTTAGAAAGAAAAACAACCAAAGTGACAAAACCAAAGAAGAATATATAACAGAGGTGGATGGCCTTGCAAGGCCTAGAATATTTACTCTAGCTTTATTGTTCTCCAGCTTTATTTTCTATAAGAAGTTTGCTGGCTCCTCTCTAGAGTGTAAGCATCTTGAGGACAGGGATCATCTATTATTTGACTTAAAGTCCAAGTTTCCAGAAAGGTTCCTCACAGGTGTTGGGGATGTGATAAAGGTTGTAAAAGAATGAATGTATTATTAATAGTTAATTTCTTTTGTTAGTAATGTTACACACTGGTAATTACATGAGTAAACTATAATTTAATAACAGAAAACTTTAAAAGAAGAATTAGTGTTTTGGGGGGCAAATAGTTCATTAATTAACTATAGTTAATTTCTTTTGTTAGTAATGTTACACACTGGTAATTACATGATTAAACTATAATTTAATAACAGAAAACTTTAAAAGAAGAATTAGTGTTTTGGGGGGCAAATAGTTCATTAATTAACTATGAACTTGTTTGCCATTGATTTCAGTTGCAATTATTGCTTTAGGACATAAGCATTTAATATAACTACCTTAAGGAAATATAATATGCCAGGATCTAGATTTATGAAATAAAGTAAGTATAACGAGAATCTTTACATGGCACTACAGATTTCTAGGTGCCCGCAGGAACACCTGACATGATTTCTGTGCTGACTACCCTTGTATTTATATTTATCTGGGTCTCTGAAATTATGATGACCAAGAGAGAAAATTTGCTCTTAACTCATTGCCAACATTAAAATAATTAAAGTGTTCTATGTATGATGCTACAAAGGATGGTGATTAACAAGGGTTTCGTTTTGCATTTTAGATCTTATAGCAGGAAGTATTCACACAGAGACTTGTACAGAATGTCCACCTATTTTCAGTGACAAGAAAGAACAAATATCAGAAAGTCCAACAGAAGCCACAGATATTGGTAATTTTTTTAATAAATAATTTTAAAACTTGAAGTAGTTAACACAAGCAAGAATGAGAAAAGGTCATTTGCTGTCATTCCAGGAATTTCTGAAAACAATGTACTATGATTTACTCGGGTTCTGAAATGACATTTGACAAGAATAAAACGTGATCAAAGTTGCTTGGAGTTAATCACGAAATAAGTAAAATACTTAATTTATTTTGTTCCACACTGAGGTTAAAAACTAAAATAAAAAACTGCAGTATATAAGCAAATCTTTTGTGTTGGAAAGACTAAAATTAAAATATCTTAGATGTTTTTCTTACATCGTGATAAAATTTGTTTTATTTTTAGAAGAAAAATTTTTTAAAAAGCAATTATTTTCCATTACCCAAAATAAATGTACAATTGTATTTGCAAAGTTTGATTTGTTTTAAATTCTAAGTTCCCTTGTGAAATTTATTTGTTCCAGAAAATGAAGATGTCTGTGGACATAGTTTTAGTAGTGTGCAAGTATTTCTGAACACTGACTAGCTATCATGGTGTTTTGACTACAGGTTTTGGTAATCGCTGTGGAAAACCCAAAGGACCAAGAGAACCACCTTCAGAATGGACATAATTCAGGGAGCTAAAAGACACTTTAAATTATACTGGAAAATTCAAGTGCCACTGAAAGCCAGATTTATAGTATTCCATCTTCAAAATGTGGGGACTAACAGCAGTGTAGATTGTTACCTTAATATTTTCTTGCTGGGACCATCTACCTGCCTTATACTACACTTAGGAAAAAGTATTATATATCGTTTATTTTGTAACTTAAAGTATTATTGCCTTAATGTCTCTTAACCCTGTTACACGCTGCTTGTAGACATGTTAATATAGTAATACTTTTATGATAAATTGAGTTTATGGACTACTCTTGCTGTTTTATCATGTATGCATTATTTTGTATATGTATAGGGCAAGTAGGTATATAATTTGATAAAGTTGCAATCATATAAAATATTATTAACAGAAGATGTAAGAAATTTCTGCATGGTCTAAATTTTTGTGTACCTTATTTGTAAATTATTTGCCCTGAAGTTTTAGAAAATAGTTTCTGAATTTTAAAATTGCTGGATTCATGCAGCCAGCATTGCAGGTTATCAGAGATCAAAGATTGTAATAATAATACATTTTGTAAATTGTAAGCAAAAAGTTATTTTTATATTATATACTGTCTAATTGTTCATCCCAATTGTTCTTGTTTTCATCTAGTCATGGAGATTCAGTAAGTGCCTTGGAACAATATTGAATTCTCTTAGCTTGTGTGTGTTACTTTAATATTTGAACTCAACTGGGATTAGAAGACTATCAGAATATATGTAAGTTTCATAATATTTGACCTGTCATTAAAAAAAAAAACAATTTTACAATGTTTACTTGTTGCCTTGGTTTTTCATTCCTCATTCCTAGGAAATTAGACTTACTATCAATCTTCTTGCTGACTTGGTCTGAAAGATCTTTAAGGCATGGCTATAAATGTATAATCTCTTAATCAAAGAATAGGGAGCATCTTCAGCAAGAAAAAATATGTTTCTGTCAATCGTAAATACTTATCTTTGAGGCAGCCCTAGGCATCCTTCTCATCCTTACCATTATTAGCCTACCAAAAAAAACCTAGTAGAACACCAAACAGAGGTGAGGCTGAGAAACAGCAGAAATGGTTTCTTCTCATCCTATGACTGGAGCACAGGTTCCATCCATAAATACTAAGTCTAAATTTTGATACCATGGATTGAAATTGATGGAGATATATATTTTTTTATGATATTTTATAATATAACATATATGTATTTTTCCCTCTGCATACAAAAGACTGAAGAAATTAGGAAACTAAAATAACATGGAATAACCTTATTTAAGTAGAAGGGGGATTGTTATGGAGGAGAAAGTCATATTATAATTTCATGTTAAAATTTTTTTAAAGCTAAATGATCTTCATGTTGATCCCTTAGAATTTGAAAGTTTTAGTTTATGTTTTAGTCATAAAGAAATGGTAATACAGTGGATGCTTGACATTCATAAGACACAGACATTCCTATACTGTATCTTTTCCTAATAAAACTTAAACTCAAGTATAACTGAAAAAATGTTTAGCCCCTTCACACTTAATGAGTTGTGTAATATGGTGCAGGGTACTCAAATCATTTGTAAAGATTATTTTTTGGTTGGGAAGGAGTTTTTTGGAATACCTTCATTGAAATATACATGTATTCAGAAGTATGCAGAAATCATATTAATCATCATAAAGTATACAGACCCATGTGCACCACCTTGGTCAAGCAATAGAACAGTATCAGCCACTGAGAAGCTTCCCCCTTGAGTTTCTGAGATTTATTCCTCTTCATATGTGTAGCAGTTGTTTGTTAATTTTTCATTGGTATAAGATTTTACATTGTATGAATATACTACAATTTGTCCATTCTGCTATTAATAGATATTTGGTGTTTGGGAATCTTAGAAATTATGTTGCCGTGAACATTTGCATGTATCTTTTGATGCATAAACATGTACATCTATCAGTTGGATATATATTGAGGAGTGGAATTTTTGGATTATAGGGTATGCATGTATATTTCAGCTTTCGTAGGTAATGCCAGTTTTCCAAAGTGGTTGTTCTAATTATTCCAAATTCTTGCTAAGACTTGGTATGACCAATAATTTTCATTTTAGCCATTCTAACAGGTAACGTAGTATTGCCTTATCTGAATATGTATTTCCTTGACGATTAATGCTGTTGAGCACCTTTTCACATGTTTACCATGTGGATACACTCTTTTGTGAACTGTCTATTAAAGCCTCAAGCAGATACTATTTGGCAGTATCAACCAAAGCTGAATATACACATACCCTATAATTCAGCAATTCTGTAGGTTTTTTCCCTTGGTTGTCTTTTTCTTATTGATTTGTTGGAATTATTTATATATTCTGCCTCTTAATGCTTGTGGGTTTGCCTGTGGTTTATTCTTTCACTCTATTAATGGTCTAAGTTATCAATCTTTTCTAATTAATGCTTTTTGGTGTCCTCTTTTAGAAATCTTTGCCCAACCCAAGATAATGATCTATAGTGTTTCTAGAAGCTTTATTTTTTGGTTTATGTTTTATCTAAATCTACAGAATTAATTTTTTTGTATATGATATGAGGTAATTTTTTTCATTGACCAGCCACCATTTATTGAGAAAACTATCCTTTCTCCACTTTCATATAGTATTGTCACTGAGCATTTTTTCATATGTTTATAGGCCATTTGTCTATCTTCTTTTTTTTTTTTTTTGAGACAGAGTCTCACGCTGTTGCCCGGGCTAGAGTGCCGTGGCGTCAGCCTAGCTCACAGCAACCTCAAACTCCTGGGCTCAAGTGATCCTCCTGCCTCAGCCTCCCAAGTAGCTGGGACTACAGGCATGTGCCACCATGCCTGGCTAATTTTTTCTGTGTATATATTTTTAGTTGTCCAGATCGTTTCTTTCTATTTTTTAGTAGAGACAGGTTCTTGCTCTTGCTCAGGCTGGTCTCGAACTCCTGACCTTGAGTGATCCACCCGCCTCGGCCTCCCAGAGTGCTAGGATTACAGGTGTGAGCCACCGCACCCGGCCTCTATCTTCTTTTGAAAAGCTTCTGTTCATGTCTTTGGCCCACTTTTTAATTGGGTGGGTTTTTTTTAATGTTTGTTTTTTACTTGCTGATTTGCTTGAGTTTTTTGTAGATTCTGGTTATTAATCCTGTATTGGATGTATAGCTTGCAAATATTTCCTCCCATTCTGTAGGTTGTCTGTTTGCTCTGTTGATTATTTCCTTAGCTGTGCAGAAGCTTCTTAAATTAATCAAGTCTCATTTATTTATTTTTGTTGTTGCCATGATTGCCACTGGGGTCTTCTTCATAAATTCTTTGCCTAAGCTGATATCTAGAAGAGTTTTTCCAACATTTTCTTCTAGAATTCTTATGCTTTCATGCCTTACATTTAAGTCTTTTATCCATCTTGAATTAATTTTTGTGAATGGTGAGAGGTAGGGATCCTGTTTCATTCTTCTGCATGTGACTATCCAATTTTCCCAGCACCATTTATTGAATTAGGGCTTCTTTTCCCCGGTGTTTACTGTTGTCTGCTTTGTCAAAGATCAGTTGGCTGTATGTAGATGGTTTTATATCTGGGTTCTCTGTTCTGTTCCATTGGTCTATGTCTCTATTTTTGTGCGAATACCATGCTGTTTTGGTTACTATAGCCTTGTGTAGTTTGAACTCTGGTAATGTGGTGCCTCTGGATTTGTTACTTTTTACTTAAGGTTGCTTTTGCTATTCAGGCTCTTTTCTTGTTCCAAATGAAGTGTAGAATTTTTTTTTTTCTAGATCTGTGAAATATGATGTTGGTATTTTGGCACTGAATCTGTAAATCACTTTGGGTAGTATGGACATTTAACAATGCTGATTTTACCGATTCATGAGCATGATATGTTTTTCCGTTTGTGTTGTCTGCACTTTCTTTCCTCCGTGTTTTGTAGTTCTCTTTGTAGAGATCATATCTTAAGCCACAAAACATGTCTCAACAAATTAAAAAAAAATAGAAATCATACCATGTATCTTCTTACACCACAGTGGAATAAAACTAGAAATAAACTCTAAGAGAAACACCCAATTCTACACAAAATCATGGAAATTAAATAACCTGCTAGTGAATGATTATTGGGTCAATAATGAAATTAAGATGGAAATCAAAAAATTCCTTGAAGTGAATGACAAAGGGGACACAAGATATCAAAATCTACGGAGTTCAGCAAAAACAGTTCTACACAGTTCTAAGTAGCCTTAAATGCCTACATCAAAAAGACAGAAAGATCACTAATAATCTAATGACATGTCTCAACAAACTAGAAATTGAAGAGCAAACCAAACACAAAGCCAGCAGAAGAAAAGAAATAATTAAGGTCAGAACAAAACTAAATGAAATGGAAAACAAATAAATAATACAAAGGATCAGTGAAACAAAAACTTGGTTCTTTGAAAAGATAAAAAAAATTGATAGAGCTTTTGCTAGATTCACCAGGAAAGAAGAGAAAGGACCCAAATAAGCTCAATCAGAAATGAAAAAGGAGATACTACAACCGATACCACAGAAATAGAAAATCTTTATGCACATAAACTCAAAAACAGAGGAAATGGACAAATTCCTGGAAACAGAAAACCTCTCAAGACTCAGTCATGAAGAAATACAACTCCTGAACAGACCAATAACAAGCAACGAGATTGAAGCAATAATAAAAAAATCTTCCAACAAAAAAAAGCCCCAGAACAGATGGATTCATAGCCATAATTTTACCAGACCTACAATGAACAGCTGGTACCCATACTGCGGAAACTATTCCATGACATTGAGGAGGGAATCCTCCCCAACTTATTCTATGAAGCCAATATCACTCTGATACCAAAGCCAGCAAAGGACACAACAAAAAAAGAAAACTACAGACCAACATCCCTTATGAATATAGATGCAAAAATCTTCAGTAAAATACAGCAAACCAAATTCAACAGTACATCAAAAAGATAACCCACCATGACCAAACGGGCTTCATCCCAGGGATGCAAGGATGGTTCAGCATAAGCAAATCAATAAATGTGATTCAGCACATAACCAGAAGTAAAAACAAAGACCATATAATTCTTCATTGGTTCCGGAAATTGCTTTGGCCAAATTCCGGCCCCTTTTCTTGTTAAAACCCTAAACAAATTAGGCATACAAGGAACATACCTCAAGATTAGAAAAGCCATGTATGACAAACCCAGAGCCAACATCATACTGAATGGGGAAAAGCTGAAAGCATTCCCACTAAGAACTAGAATAAGAGTATCCACTGTCGCCGCTTCTATTTGACATAATGCTTGCTGGCCTTTTTTTTTTTTCTTTTTGTA